ATAAGGAATAAACTGCAAAGCACATAAAAAGGCACATATTAGTAAAATCCATTGTCTTAAAACCACAAACCACCGCATGAGAGCGTACAATTATTTTAAGAACTGTGTAGAGCAGGGGTAGGGAACCTAAGGCCCGGATGCGGCCCCCTGAGGCCTTTGGACCGGCCCTAGGCTGGTCCTGCCGCCGCCACCGCCGCTGCTGCCCCCCCCCCCCCCCCCGCCATGATGGTATTGATTACTGTTGCTATTACTTGCTCTTGGGGTTTTCTTGGCAAAATCTCCACAGGGGTTCTGCCATGGCTTTTCTGGGGCTGAGAGAGTGTGTGTGCATTTTTTTTTAAAAAAAATAATTTTTTTAAAAAATATTTATTTATTTATTTATTTATTTTTGGTGCTTCGGCCACCCAATTGTCTGAAGGACAGCAACCCGGCCCCCGGCTCAAAAAGGTTGCCTACCCCTGGTGTAGAGTATTAACATCTCTCTGCCCCTAACTGTGGCTCATGGAACAATACAAACATATTAACACTTTCTAGAGGAAAGCAATGGTATTATGCCACAGCAATATTCAATATTGTGGGAAACATAACAGTTTTCTGAGATACTCAGTTATTCATTTCATGAATCCATAAATTTACAGCTGATTAAAATATTCAGTTCTGTTGCTTGTGACATTTGATTCCCATCTGATCTCATAGCCTATGCTTTTTTCTTTTAAAATCATACATACTCGTAGTTAGTACAACACTTCATGCATCTGATGAAGTGAATTCTAATCTGTGAAAATGCAAGCCATGACAGATGTGCTATTTTTTAAGGTGCACAAGACTGTTGGTTCAGGAACCATCTCAACGTTAACGATATACATACCAAATAATTGACAGTTATTAGTTTAAAATATGAGGAACTGGATGGCTGTTCATTCTTAGTTTTTGTCAAAAGATCATCCAATTATTTCTTCTCAATGGAACTAGAAATTATAAAGACTGTTTTAGAGATTTGAGGGTGTAGAAAACTGAAGTTGATCTAAAATAGAGTTTCTGAATTCACCTTTAACACTATGCTGGAGGAGGAAGAGGAAGCATGTCAGCCTCTGGGCCACTTAGGCTTGTTCACTTAAGACAGGAGTGGTGCAAATGCAACACCTAGGTGACATACGACCCTCAATAGTGTTTTGAGAGCCATAAAAGCCGCCATATTTATTTATTTTTTTAGAAACAATAAAATAAAATGCCTTCTTTCTCTCTGTGGTACCACAATTTGTCCCTGGTCCCAGGTTCTTTTTTAAACCCAAAGAACCCATTTCCCCCAAAAACTGGAATGGGCTTCCAGTTTACTTCCTGTCCAAAAGAATTGGTCTTCAAAAAGACCAAGGATACAAAAACATGGCAAAGCTGTATCTCATCTCTCCTAGAAAGTTTTTTTTTAAGTATTAAAATCTACACAGCCTTCCTTTTTCTATTATTTATCTATTTTTACTGCAGGCTAGGACTGAAGGCAATTTACAAAGGTTAAAACAGATTCACATCATACAATACTTAAAATGGTAATTAAGGGGGGTTGCAGACTGCCAGAAATAGTGCAAATTGAGTCCACTTTTAGGGTTAGGGTTAGGGTTAGGGAATCATGGGAACTGTATTTTATTGTGGCACCAGAGCTCTCTGACAGAGAAGGCTCAATGTCTCAGAAAAAAAACAATTCCCATGATTCCGTAGCACTATCACTAACCCTAAAAGTGGACTCAATTTGCACTATTTCTGGCAGTCTGCAACCCCTCTAAGTTAAGAAAAGAATTAAAAGCAGCTAAAGCATGACAATTAAAAAGAAAACAACAAATAAACAGTTTAGCACAGGGGTAGGCAACCTTTCCCCTTTAAGGGCTGAGGGACTTCAGCTCCCAGAAGCCTCAGCCATGTTGGCCAATAGTCCTATGTTGGCCAATAGCTCCTGGGATTCTGGGAACTGAAGTCCCTCGGCCCTTAAAGGGGAAAGGTTGCCTACCCCTGGTTTAGCATATTCTGAAAAACCTTCTCTCCACAAGCAATCAGCCATCAAAGTCCTACTGAAGCAATAAGGTCTATATCTGCCTATGAAAGACTAGCAAAGAGGATGCCAGTCTAACCTCTCTAGAAAGGGAGTTGCTTTCCCATCAGAAGAATGGGTCCAGAGTAGGAGCTTAAACATTTTGTTGTTGTTGTATGTTGTTGTGTGCCTTCAAATTGTTTCTGTCTTATGGAGATCCTAAGGTGAACCCATCATTGGGTTTTCTTGGCAAGTTTCTTCAGAGTGTGACTAGCCCAGGGTCACCCAGTGGGTTTTCATGCTCAAGCCAGGATTCAAACCTGGGTCTCTCAGGCTGTGCTTCAAGTCTTTTCCGATGTGCCTTCAAATCATTTCCAACTTATGGCAACCCTACCACAGAGTTTTCTTGGCAGAATTTGTTCAGAGGTAATTTGCCACTGCCTTTCTCAAGAATCTGAGAGAGAGTGCAATTTCTGCAAGGTCACCCAGTGAGTTTCCAAAGCCAAATAGTGAATTTGAACCCTGGTCTCCCAGTGTCCTAGTCCAACACTCAAAACGCTATCCCACACTGGTTCTCAACTTATGCATAAGCTTTTCTAAATCCAACCCACACACATTTTTAATTATGTGTGACAACGATCTAAAATCTAGTCCCTACAAACTACTGTTAAAACAATAGAGTAGAAAAGTAAATTAACCTCAATTTATTTTATTTTTATGTAATGTTCTCTTCTTCTTGTGCCATTCTTCTCCCCTCCTCTCTTTCGGCCCAACAAGGAATGGATGTGTAATTCTTGGTCCTGTTTTTTTAGCAAAGCTAGTATGATTAACAGCCCTTAAGCACACTGTTCTGAAGAACAGGCATGACTGGCAGCTCTCTGGGTATATAGCATAGGCAGCTTGAAAGTGTTATTGTTTCATACTAATAGTGTGAGATATTGCTTTTTTATTTGTGTTTACAGCTGTTAAATAGCATCAATATCTTAAGGACTTGCAATACACCAGCTGAAGAATATTGATTTCTATTTGGCATTTCCATTTGTAAAAGCATGGAAGAGATTTCTTGCTACCGCCACTCAAGGGCCTTCAGTTGGAACTGTTAGGATATGGAGACAATTACAAGCGATAGGTAAGCTAGAAATCTTCACCTCTTTCATAAGACTATTTGATAGCAGTACTAATATGTATTCCTTACTATTTTTAGATGTAATACCTGTTCAACAATATCACTGTGTTTTTCTATGTGAGAGAATCCCTCACCCAAGACACTCTAGTTCTTTAATAATTGCAGGAAACATAAATTTTGGAAAACACATAGTTTTTGTCCTTCAGTTCTGGGGCATCAATGGAACTGAACAGGAAGTTTATCTTGGGCAGGTTACGCTCTCTCAGCCTCAGCGGAAGACCAGGGCAAACCCTTTCTGATCAAACCTTGCCAAGAAACCTTTGATAGGTTCACCTCAGGATTGCCATAGAGAGCCAAAGTGGTATAGTGGTTTGGGCATTGGACTATTACTCAGGAGACCAGGGTTGAAATCCCTGCTTAGCCATGGAAGCCCACTGGATCACCTTGGGCAAGTCACTCTCTCTCAGCTTCAGAGGAAGGCAAAGGCAACCCCCCCTTGGGACAAATCTTGCCAAGAAAACCACATAACAGGGTTGCCTTAGGGTCACAGTAAGTTGGAAATGATTTGAAGGCACACAACAATAAGTCAGAAATTACTTGAAGGCACACAACAACACAAGTCCTATATTACTTTTACAAATACTTTTCAAGAACCGTGAATTAAAAGCAACCATTAGGTGCTCCAAATCTATTTTACAGTTTACCCTCAGTATATCCTTTCTAGCTGCAATATGGATGTTTCTGAAGGACTGCTAGCAGAGTAAAAGATTTGGAACTCCATTTTTGGGAAAGCCAAGATTATTTAGGCTTAGACAAAAATGGAATGAGATGGCAAAGAGGAAGGCATGGATAACATTGGTTTTGATGCATCTAGTACTTAAATGTATACCACAACTAGAGCTGCTGGAATATGAACTGGAGAGGACTCTTGTACCTTTAAATGGTTGAGTAACCAGGATGGTGCAGTGATTTGAGTCTTGGACTATGACTCTGGAGACCAGGGTCCGATTCCCATTCAGCCATGGAAACCCACTGGGGGACCTTGGGAGAGTCACACACTATCAGCCCCAGAAAACCTTATGATAGGTTTGCCTTGGGGTGAGCATAAGTCGGAAAAGACTTGAAGACATATAACAACAATAGATGCGGGAATTTCAGCAGGTTTTGCTTTTTACCTGATTGTGTGACAAGCAACACCTGCTGAAATACCCTCTTTAATACATCCATTAAAGATACAAGAGCCCCCTCCAGTTTTCACTCTGATAACCCTTACAACAACAATATAGGTAAACGAATGAGATTCTGAAGGGGCAGGGATGCCCTTTAATTGCCTTCAATAAGTGGACTTAAAAAAAAACCCAACCCTTATTCTTTTCTCTTTGTTTCATTTGTCTACAGACATGCCACAAAATTTGAAATGAAGTGTTTTCAACAGATGTTATGCTTCAGGGCAAGTCACACAGTTTTCTCATAGTGCTTTTCAGAGTTACCAATGGAGCTACTTTCCATGCATAGTTCTCATGTATTTCCTTTTGCCCACCCACCATGAGTTCATCAAACCTAGCTTTTTATTTGGTAAGAAACAGCATTAGAGTTAATTATATTTTTAAGACACCTAGAGGCGGCTGAAAAAAATACTCTTACCCCTTTCAAAATTAAATGCTAAAGTTACAAAATGGATTTTTTTTTAATAATTTGAAAGCAGAAAGCTTTGATGTTGATTTGAAACTGCTCCCTCTCTCCTGATAAAAATGCTTTTTGGTGCTCATGAAATTTGACAGCAATTGCTTGCAGCTGCCTAGATAATTTTTTATTTAAAGATCTCCAGAACGGTCCTTCAAAATTATCATCCTAAATTAGACTGATATATGCCATGCTTATTTGTGAGGATTTCACTTTTTATGAAGTCAAAGTTTGGGTGGTTTTGTGTTCATTAGGATTTTACATGATTGTGGTAAACTCTTTCAACTCTTCTATTCATTGTTGCTGCTGTAAGCATCTTGTCAAATACGGCATACAGCTTTTGGTCATGCCAAAGGGCTACAATGCAATAGTCCATGAGGTTTTTTTTTTTTTTTGGTAATAAATAAGATACAGGCATCCCTCGTGGTTCGTGGACTTCCCGTTTGTGTCCCTTGGTCTTTCACGGATGGGAAGCCACGAGGGACAAAATGGCATCTGCACCACCATTATACTCAATGGGTCTCCAATATTTACATTATTTCCCATTCATGGGGGTGGTTGGTCTGGAATGGATCCCTCACAAATGGAGAGGGATGCTTGTATTTATTAAATATTTTATAAGATTCAACAACAAAGAAGTATACAGTATGTAATTTCAGCAATAGGTCAAAATAAACATTGCATTACAATACAGTATGTAAATATCATGGCCAGAGGGTTGGCTCCAGATGTTGTCATTGTCAGCCACCTTGATTGCCCAGGCAAAAGGCGGGGTATAAAAATAAAGTTTATTAGTTTTTTTATTATTACTTAGAGCGGACTGAAAGAAATGAAGTTAGTTGCATCTGGTTGTGTATTCCTGCATGGCAGTGGGTTGGACTGGAGATGGCCCTTATGATCTCTGCCAGCTCTATGATTCTATGATGTCTTACTGATTTCAGGGGTATAAACTATGATTTCACCAACTCTGGGTGCCACTCACATTTCTTGAAGATTATTCTTATTGAACCATAAAATACATATGTATCAGAAGACAAATTCATACTATCATTATCCATTGTTATTCTTAAAATTTTAGTATATGAGTGCATGTAATTGCCAGGCATATCTATCCTGTATATTAATTCTTCTGAATTATTTTACATTTAGGACTCTAAACTTCAAATCTTTTCATCAGCGATGGGAATATTGTAGCCCTCCAGATGTTGTTAGCCATGGGCAATGCTGGTATTGAGATGCATGGAGACTCTAGAAATCCTACCCATTGTATACATCAACAAATTAAATGCAAAATTTAAAAACTTGTAATGTCAAATTAAACACATTGTTTTATTCCTATTCAATATATATGTGAAAATTTGAAGTTACTTTGTGTAGAAATTACTTTTTTGTTTTGGTGGGTGAGACTCATAGGATTTTGTGCAAACAAAAACAATGTTTTCTAACAGCCACATGGTTTTGTTGTACAAGATGGCTGTTTTTTGCACAAGAGTTTTCTGATGTAAGAGTTTTATTGTGCTAGTTTTTTGTTTTTAGGATAGATTCTTTTTTTTCTGCATCGGGCAGAAAACTGCAGAAATTATTTGCCCTCACTTGCAAAGATGAAATGGTTAAGTATTAACATCCCTAATTCCAATTCAATGATATTCACAGAGCCCTGTAAGTATAAGGATTTTCAGGGAACTTTAAGGAAGAATGTCCACCTCCTCTCATCAGAGGCATCATATGAAAAGCAGTCCCTGGTCAGAGTGGATGTTGGAAGTTGCAGCAAGATTAATTGCATACTACACTCGTCCCTCCACATTTGTGGCTTTGACTTTTGTGGATATGATTATTCATGGATTTTATTCATATATTCTCTCTAGGAATATCTAGGTCCTCCAGCGCAACTCTATGGTCAACTTTAACCACCCTGAAGGACCTAGAGATTCCTAGAGAGAACACTCCACTAGGCATTTGTAGCTCCTATAGCGCAATTTCTATGGCCAATGTCTGGCTGATATTGACCACAGAGTTGCACTTGAGGACATGGAGATTCCTAGAAAGGTGTTTTCTCAGTTTAAAACAGTGTTCCTGTTATTTGAGGTTTTTCCACATTAATGGGGGTCCTATGCCCCTAATTTCCCCCAGCAAATGTGGAGGGATGATTGTATTTTCATCCTCCTCATCCTTCAACTACAAAGTTACACAGATAATCTTAGTATTGTTGCTTTACAAAAACCACCAAACCAGTTTCTCCAGTACCTGTAGAGTTTTCTACTCAGACTGAGAGTAAATAAAGTTTCCAGAACTAAAGATGGTTGTTCTAGGCCTATATTTTTTCCCTGTTGTCACCACTTGGTCCTCAAGAAAAAGAGAAAGAGAGAAAATCCATTTCTTTTAACTGATCATACCTGAAGGCTAAACTAGAAAGAAGTGGGAGATGTGGTTACACTCCACTAACTTGTTAAGAAACAGGAATGGCTGAAATACAGCCACAGAATCCCAAATCTTCCCCCTACATACACATACACACAGAAAAAGCTGGAGGAAAGTAACAAGTAGTAGAAAAAGAATTAAACACTTATTCCCTATCATTGCTATGGGTATGGAAAATCTTTCAGTCTCAATTTTGTTGTTCCTCAAGATCCCATCTTCATTTTCTTCTCATGTTATTTTGTAATTGGTTGTGTGCTTTGTAGTTGTTGTTGTTTTAAAAAAATGACACACATAGAAATTGGTCTGCATTTTACACATTTTTCTTAATGCGCAAATTTCTTTACAAATTTCAGCTAAGTTATGGATGTTCACCGTTGACATTTGCTGCCTGCAAAGGAAATCTTGCCCAAATTAGTAACATGTGCTTTATTTTTTTGTCCTGTGTAACTTAAACTAATCTACATATTTAGAAACAGTAACAAATGAGATAAACAAAATATGGTATTTTGTTTCATTTGTATTATATCACCTAGAAGTACTTTCTGTGAGATATTACATAGAAGAAAGAGAAGGAAAAGGAAGTGCATGAACATACAAACCCTGGAGAGACACTTGATCATGAAGGAATGCATTTTAATGGTGGCTTTTTGTTCTTCTTCTGGCTTATTATAGAAATAAAACATGATCATATAAAGTATTATTTTAATGCCTGGTATACAGGAACAGACACACTCAGTAAATCAAATATGTAATATCCATGTTTTTCTTGGTTTAGATATATAAAACTATATTAAAAATTTAAATGTGATTTTATGTTCAGTCAGTTTATGGAGCATGTTAGAAAAACATTTGGCCATATAAGGAATTGTTTTCTTTCCTTTTTTTCTGATAAAAACAATATGTCAAAATTAAAACCCTATATTTTCACAGCCATTGTTCTAGAAAACCTACTGTATTTTCCCTGCTAAATATTGTTCTTAGTTTTGAATATAAACAAATGAAATGCTCTACTGTTGTAGGATTGTCCAGGTTTACTTTTAAATATTGCCATAGTTTTACTCCATGTTTCTTAGCTATTTGAGAATATACATAGATAAATTTAAAAATCTGAGCCCAATCCATCATACTGGTATGCAATGTATTGAAAAAAGTCTGTGCTATGTATCCTCCCTTCTAGAAATGCACTAATCACTTGCTACTTTCATAAACCATGTGTTCTCCACAATCAGAAAACAGAATCTGAAACTTCCCAATGCAGTCATTGGACATTTTCACACTTGAACGTCCAAAGCCGCCTGGAAGCAATCAAGAGCCATTCCAGAA